TTTTTTTTTTTTTGGGGGGGGGGTCCCTCAACTGCCATGCAAGTGGGACACATACAGACATGATTCCATCTATTTTGGGAAACTTTCCTGAGCCTATAAATTTGTCTAAAGAATTAGCGGGGAACACCTGGTAGCATTATAGCGCTTATTTTTTTTTTTTTTTTTTTTTTTGGAGAGGGGGTCTCGCTCTTGCTCAGGCCGGTCTTGAATTCCTGAGCTCAGGTGATCCACCCGGCTTGGCCTCCCAAATAGAGTACTAAGATTACAGGTATAATCACCATGCCTGACCCATTTTAATTTTAAAAAAGTATCATAAAAGGATCTCAAAGCAGAAAAACAGAGGATGTAGAGAGGAAACTGATTTTGAGGAAGAGGAGACAACAGAAGGGCTGAGGAGAAAGGAAAAAGCCTCAACTAGAGAGAAGAGCTTAATAAAATTTGTCTAGGCCTGCTCAGTTTTTCTCTTGTCTTAGAATGTATGAAATATTATTCTGTTGGGCTGGGTAGATAAAATAAACAACTGAAAAAGTCAAACAAGTCAGCCTTAGTCTTTAATCTAATGGAAAAATAAGAAATGGGGAGAGGGGGAGTCTGTATAAATTTTACATTAAGCAACACCAAAAATCAACAAGCCCATTAACACTGATGATAAGACCACTTATAACATTTTTCCAACTTGTTGTAGATAGTTGAAATATTGTGGGGTTTTGTCTTTTCAAAACATTTAAATTACAATAACCGCCAAAGTTGTAAATCATCCAGCATATTTAAAGCTGCATATTCCATGTAAGCTCTATATTTTGCCTTATGATTTAAGACTGGCATGTTTCTACTTAACCAGTTACTTAACTGTTTGCCTGTGTTTTCTTACTGCAAAGAAGGAACTCATGTCTGTTATTTTCACAGGGAACGTGATGCAAATAAAATCAATTACATGTATGCTCAGTATGTCAAAAATACTATGGAACCACTTAATATCCCAGATGTCAGTAAGGATAAGAGATTTCCCTGGACAGTAAGTAACCCAATTTTAGACTTGAAGCTTAGAAGACTGTTCTGTACTTATAGTTAGATCAGATCTATACTTACAGTTACCCTTCAACTCAGGACTGGCCCTAGACTTGTCTGCTTGGCAGTGATCTGTGCTTTCCCTGATCTGATAAAGGAGAATAAAAAAGCCCATAACATGTACTGAGAGCTGTTTTTCTCTGTACTTTTTTCAGTTTTAATAACGTATAGTAATATATACTATCATATGCTAGTTGTGAAGTGATTTAACTATTACACAGTGTCATTGGCATTCATTAGATTTTATTGCTGGAGTTTCTGTTGTAGTCATAGAAATTAAGTTAGTTCTGTATGGTCCAAACTTATCCAATTGGTAATCTACCATAGGAA